GCTATACAGCCATACAAATCAGAAACATACAAACACATAAACATAAAAAAGCATAGACAAAAACATTAAAAAAACATGGATACAAACAAAAAACAAAGAAAAATAAACATAGAACTCGTCAAATTATATACGCACGGTCAGACCTTTTGATACAACGAGCCGCACTATAATTGATCAACGATGAGAAACACGTGACGTAAACAATGACTCCCATTGGTCGGAGGCATTTCATTCAGAAAAATGAAAAGAGAGAGAGAGAGAAAGTGAGAGAAAGAGAGAGAGAGAAAGGGTATGATAAAAAAAGAAAGGAAAAACAAAGTGAGAGAAAGAAAGACAGAAAGACAAAAAGAATGAAGATGGAATGAGTTGTAAAGGAGAAAAAAAGAAGAAAATAGAAAGAGAGAGAGAGAGAGAGAGAGAGAAAGACAGCAAAAAAAATAGAAGGGGAAGAGAGAGAGAGAGAGAGAGAGAGAGAAAGACAGCAAAAAAAAATAGAAGGGGAAGAGAGAGAGGGAGAAAGAAAGAAAAAAAAGAAAAAGAAAGAAATAAATTAAGAGAATGAAATGGTCTATAAAATAACCAACAGAAAATTGTGAACAATGACAGAAAAACGAAAAAATGACTTTTATTATTATTATTGTTGTTGCTGTTGTTGTTGTTATTGTTGTTGTTGGTTGTTGTTGTTATTGTTGTTGTTGGTTGTTGTTGTTATTGTTGTTGCTTATTTTTTATCAACAGAATAGAAGCGAGAATGTTGGCTGATGTTTTATGGTTGAACGAGAATTTGAGAAAAAGACATCAACGATTTATCAAAGTTCATGTTTAGATTTTTGTTGTTGTTGTTGTCATTGTTACATAATAGCAGCAGTAGTAGTAGTAATAGTAATAGTAGCAGTAGTAGTAGTAGTAGTAGAAGAAATAATAATAATAGTAGTAGTAGTAATAATAATAATAATAATAATAATAATAATAATAATAATAATAATAATAATAATAATAATAATAGTAGTAGTGGTAGTAGTAGTAGTAGTACTGCTAAGGAGTGGCAGCAGTAGTAGTAATAGTTTTATAAATTTTTTCCACTATCATTTTATTCATTCTGAACCGCATTTTTAAACGTTTCAAACTTCCGTTCTCACTTAATTCATTTTTTCTCAAGAATGAATGAATGAACGAATAATTGAGTGAATAAATAAATGAATGAATGAATTTCTTACTCCACCATTTCTCAATCATCTATCTAGTGTTCATCTCATTGGTTTGGAAAATAAAATTGATGACTGCTCTAGCATACATCATGTTCAAGTTTAAAACCTAACCGCAACAACAAATAACACACGATTTATCGCGTATTTGTGAATGTGTGTGTGTGTGTATCTGTGTTTGTGTATGTGTATTTGTGTGTGTGTGTTTGTGTCTATATGTGCGTGTGTTAATATTAATGCGTGTATCTATGTAAGAATATAAACATGTAGGCTTGCACGAACGTAAGTATGCAAGCAATAAAAAGCATCTAGACCCACACGTACACACATAAACAGAGCAGACACACACACACACACATAAACAGAGCAGACACACACACACGCACGCGCGCACACGCATAAACAACATTTATGAAGTTTGGGGAGAATCTTTTCAAATGAGTTTTATTAAATCAATCCATCTCTCTTTAGAAAGCGCTTTATTTTACACCGCTTCCCACTTAAAGTTCCACATGTACACAAGTGTACAGTGTTTACATGAAGAATGAAAAAAGAGAAAGAAAGCGAAAGAAAGAGAAAGGAGAGAAAGGGAGAGAGAGAAAAGAGAGAGAGAGAAGAAGAGAAAGAAAGAGTGAGAGAAGAAGAGAAAGAGAGAGAGAGAGAGAGAAAAAAAAAATAAAAAAAAAGAAAGAGAAAAAGAGAAAGAACTAGAAAAGAAAGAAAAGTGAGATAAAGACCAAAAATAGAGAAAGATAGAGAAAGAGAGAGGTAGTAGAGAGATAGAGAGTACCTGATTGAAACAATAAATCATAATATAATTTAAATAATTTTTCTCTCTCCATCTCATCCGCATCTCCCATGATAGCGGTTGTAGAAAAGATAACGACGATGAAGATGATGACGATGGTGATGACGGTGATGATGACGATGATGATGACGGTGATGGTAATGATAGGCGCGAAAATTTGTTTGTGGGGTGATTAATGAAGATTAAAATAAAACGTCGCATAATTTTTCTATCGGCGTTTTTGGTCTATTTTTTTTATCATTATGGACTGCACGATGGCGTTACGGTAAAGCTCCTGCCAGTGCTGTTACAGTAACCGGGTTCGATTACGAAAAGATCCCCGCCAGCATATCAGTGAGTGATGCTTTGTTCCACGTGTGTGTTTGGTTTGTGTTTCTTGCTTTGGTGAGGCCTTTGGAATGTATTGAAGAGAAAATTGTATTAAATAAAATTTTCAACAATTATTTTCTCTAAATTAAACTATTAAAAGTTTACGTTTTAGTCACCAACCAATCAAAAAAAAGCTAAAAAAGTTAAAAA